AGGACGTCGAAGTGCGGTTGCGCGAACGTGGCAAGGGTGGGGCGCAAACCGGAAGTGCCGTTTCACCAAAAATTGCGACCTGCGCCAAACGTTGCGTTTGCAAGTTCCAAGGCTACGCGGTCACAGGCCAAAATTTTACGTGCCCAAGGTCCAAGGACCAAAACACCGTTTCGCCAACTACCGCCAACTGGGACGTTTCCCCTACTACCGCCTCCCAAAAGGCCAACGACCACCTCAACAGGGGTCCTACGCCTCTGCGCCCCTTGCTAGGCCCCGAAACCAAAAATGCCCACCCTCCCGACGACCACGACGTTCAAATTTGACGTTGAACGTTGAATGTCTCAGGGGGGGAAAGCACATCCCTGACGGGCTGCGAACTATACTGCAGCCTTAGGGCTGCGAGTTCTGGTAAAAGTCGGTAGTTTCGTTGCTCACTTGGCGATTGCTTCTTGCTGATGTGGGAGTCATTAGCTGACGTGACTACCAGTGGTGACGTGGCAATTGCTTGCTACGGCTAGCTGTTGCTGACGCGGCGATGTCCTCGATGGCTATCCCTGGTGAGGTGATTGGTTCGAACCCGGCGGCGATGGCTGCTAGCAGCGTCAGGTTTACACGTGGCAATCACTGGTGCGCGGGGGATCTGCAGCGATCGTATCGACCACGTGCACTGCATGCTGACGTGGCGCTGAAGGTCGTCAGCCAGCGACACGTGGGAATTCAGAGAGACCGTCTTGCTGTTAAATCTACTCGAGTCGCCATGGCATCATTTGAGGGATTGAGGCAGATCGACATCAGTGCCATTCGGCTGAGGTCATGTCCACCCAGTAATGCTGCCACGTTTCATGCGATAAAATCATCCAACGGTCATCGTTATACAAGCAGTTTGGTAATCTCTCTCTCTGTCCCCCCCCTCCCCCCCCCCTCTCTCCCCCCCTCTCTCCCCCCCTCTCTCTCCCTCTCTGTGTCTGTATGTCTGTCGGTCTGTCTGTCTCTCTCTGTCTCTCTCTCTCTCTCTGTCTCTCTCTCTTTCTGTCTCGTTCCCTGCCCAGCGGGCCAACCAACCACCTACCCCCCTACGATCGCTCGATGTCGCTCGCCTCGTTGTACCTGCCGCGCTTCTCTAGGAATTCCTTTTTTTCTGTTTTCTGCGTTCTCCCCCTCTCCCTCCCCCTCTAGTAACTCCTGGTTGTCATCAGTGCTCGTTCCTTCCCGTCTTCTCCGTCTCTCTCTCACCTCACCTCTATCTCTTCCTCTTCGTTCCCACCCTCTCCTCGTCCATCTTCTCGCACTCCGCCTACTTCTCCCCCTCCTCTCCTCGTTTCTGTCTCCCTCTCTCCCTCTCTCCCTCTCTCTCTCTCTCTCGTCCCCCCGCGCCCGATCCACAGCGGCGGACTGCGAAAAGACATGACGGCGATGGCCGGGATCACATGTGCAACTGAGCGCGCGCGGATCTCTTACCGCCCGCTCCTGAGCGCACGCATGCGCTCGTTAGAGGACGGCGTATCCAATGAGAGCGCGGTTGACAACTCGAGAGAAGGCATCGGCTCCCACGCGCTCAGGAGTACGCGCACGCGCACGCACGCGTGCACCTGAAGGAGCGTGGCGGTCATGAACTTGAGAAAGGCATCGGCTCCCGCGCGCGCGCGTGTTCAATTTTCCTGGGGTAGTATGTGGGGAAACAACCCCCTCTCCTCCCCCCCCCCTTCAATGGATGCGCTGAGGCATAAACTGCAGTTTCATTCATTTATTTATTTATTTATTTTGTTTACAAAATTTAACTTTCAAATTTGTTTTGCGGTTTGGAAGGACATGCGCGCGCGGTGGGTACCTTATTGATCTGTACAAGTGGTTCTTCTGATAGGGCGACTGACTGTCAAGGCACCCGAGAGGTATCTAGACGAGGAAATGCGTACTGGTACCTAGAGGAGAAGCGCGAACACGTTAGCAATCCCCTTTCTCTTGGCTCTGTACCGCTGTTTCATGGGCGAAAAGTACGTGCGTCTTTTTACGCAAACGGCTGAAAACTTTTGATGTTTGCACTTCCAAACTGTATATTATATTTTGAGAATTCGAAATACTTGAATTAAACAACGTTCCAAATATACGTAATAAGGAACCCGTGTGCGCGCGCGCGCGCGCGCGCGTTTTCAGACGCAGGGGATCATCAACTGTGAAAATGGGGAATGAATGACTGTCTTAGCGACCAAATCACTATAAACATCAATCCCTCTCTCTCTCTCTCTCTCTCTCTCTCTCTCTCTCTCTCTCTCTCTCTCTCTCTCTCTCTCTCTCTTCTTCGCACACACATAAACGTCATCACACACGCAATGAAGTAAGCTTGAGCAACCCGCTTTTTCTCTGTGTCTCTCTACTTCAAACACGCACAAATCATTACAAACACAAATGAAGTAAGCTTAAACAACACTCTGTCTCTCTCTCTCTCTCTTGCGCGCGACGGTGTCGCATGGCATGGACAGGACGTGTATACTGCGAAAGTAAAGCCTCGCACGTTTTGTCTGTTATTGCAAGTGTGTATCTCTCTCTCTCTCTCTCTCTCTCTCTCTCTCTCTCTCTCTCTCTCTCTCTCTCTCTCTCT